GGGAATAAACCTCTGAATAAACCTCCATCAGAACCGGGAATAAACCTCCATCAGAACCTGGAACAAGCTCCCATCAGAGCCATAAGTCTGGCCCTCAAGAGGGGAGGAGAGGTGTATCATTGGAGCCTGCATTGTATCAATGCAGATTTTGTTGGATGTGAAAACAGAAACTCCTCCATTAAACTCCCCAAAAAGGCGGCCTGTTTTACACGCGGAGCTAAATGTCTGCTCTCCTCTGCAGGGTCGTGCTTCATCCGCACCGATCAGCTGGATGGAGAAACCGACTGGAAGCTGAAGGTGGCCGTCGGCTGCACCCAGCGGCTGCCCGCCGTTGGGGTATGGACTCGCTTTGGTGTCTCCAGCTGACCCAGTCAGAGGGGTTCAGCTCGGTGCCTCAGGATTCTGCTTTGTGAAATGTTGGAGCTGTTTTGATAAGATTCTATATTTTCTGAAAAGTGGTTCAAAGGAGGCTCCATTAAATTATCGTTCACTTTGTGAAAGCCAAAAATGGAGTTTAGTTTCTAAAATCCTGCCTCTTTTCCTATGAATTCTCAAACTTTAAAACATTTTGATATTTCCAAGCCAAAGACAATTAAAATGATCAAGTTTACAGTTTTTTCTGATATAATTTTGATCTCTGAAAAGCAAAAAACAAATTTAGGCACAAAATTCTGTTTTACTTGTCCCATAAATGGACAGACTAAAAAACGTGTGGAGCTCAACATGTTTTAGAAACACAGAGAGTAGAAAAAAAGGTCAAACCTAAAGCTCTCAAGTGGATTTTAGCTCATTTTGAGGGTGGAAAGGTGGGTTCCTGTCTGGGTTTTGGTGTGAGGACGACCCGGTCTGGGACACTAACCTGTGGCCTTCTGTCTCAGGACCTCTTCTCCATCAGCGCCTACGTCTACGCCCAGAAGCCCCAGCTGGACATCCACAGCTTCGAGGGGAACTTCACCCGGGTATGTTGCCCTGCTGACACGCTCACCACCTGATCACCCCCCCTCAGAGCCGGTCCGGGTCCATCTGGGGAAGGTTCT